GCCTGTCGCATTTGCTAAAGACTTGGGAAGATTTTTTAAATTTAAATAGCCACTTTGGCCTAGGAAGCAAAATGCACCTGCGTTTTTAGGCTCAAACACTGGACTTGAGAGGCACCCGTGCCCTAGCTGGTGGTGGGGGACGACATCCTCTTCATGGCTCCTTCTCTCTGGGGCCCAGGTATTCCTCGGGAAGTTTCCCGAGTGTTGCCGGGGCCTCGTCAGAGGCGTCTGAGCAAGGATGTATATAATGAGTCCAGGTGACTCAGCCAGTTGAGTCCCTACTATGGGCCAGGCAGTGCCGTAGATGTTGGGATGCTACAGGGAGCAAGTCGGGTGACAGTCCTGTGGAGCTGACATTCTGGGGGAGAGGCAAACACTACAGAATTAACAGACATGCACAGGCACACACGTGTATCTGTATACTATGTACCTGGTGCATGCCCTGGGGAAAGATAAAGCAGGGAAGAAGGCATAGAGGACAGCAGGGACAGGGTCAGTGGACACCGACCTGTGTGGGGGAGGGCAGGGAGGAGCGATCACAGACAGATCAGTGAGGAGAATTCCAGCGAGCAACACCGCCTGTGCAGAGGCCCTGAGGTGGGAGTGTGTCTGGGGCTTGAAGAACAGCCAGGGACCCATGTGACTGGGGCAGAGCGAACAGGGGAGTGTGGGAGGAGGAGAGTAGCGAGGTGATGGTGGGTCCTGCAGGGACTTGGGAGCCACGAGCAGTGTTTTGGAGGCCAGCAAAAGACGTAAGGATGTCAGCTCTGGAGTGAGCAGACCATCTTCCAGGCCCAGCTGTGCGTGGCGAACTTAGCGAGAGGTGTTGCCTTTGTCAACCTCAGTTTCCATATCTGCTCAATGGGAGTCAAAAGAGCCATTCCACCGAGGCTGCAGGTCTGGGAGTCTGTTGGCGTCGTGATCCCCTCGTGGTGGTAAGTCCTGGAACTGAGCCTCAGTAAGCCACATTTGGTAACTGGTCTTTTTCCACATTTGGAAAAAGATGTTTCCAACATCTTTTTTACAACTTTTTGAGTGGCATTTCACTCTGTCTCCCAGGCTGGAGCGCAGTGGCACGATCACGGCTCACCACAGCCTTGACCTCCTGGGCACAGTCTATCCTCTTACCTCAGCCTCCCGAGGTGCCTCCCGAGGTACACACCACCACGCCCGGCTAATTTTGGTTTCCAGACATCTTTTGTGCTGCAGACTGCCTTGCCAAGGCCTATAGAAAAAGCAGATAAGCAACCATGAGGGAGGTGGGTTCCAAGGGCCCTCTTTTATGCTCCCTCCCACTACCCATGGGGTCCAGGACAGGTCGGATAGAAGGGAGGGACCCTCACATTCAGCAGAGACTAGGGCAGGAGAGGAAAGGCACGGTCTGGGAGTGGACAGAGAGGATGGGAGGGAGAGCGAGGGTGAGGACCAGCCTTGGAGACAGCAGACAGAACAGCGGCATCACACCAACCCCCAGGGGCAGCAAGACGGGCAGGGAAGAGCCCAGCCTTTGGTGCCCAGCCACCCGGGTTCAAACCCTGGCTGCTTCTCACTCGCTGGAAGCCCTTGACAAGAGCTCTCCCCTTTCTGGGCCTCAGTTTCCCCATGTATGAGCTGGGGTGATGAGAGTAGGTTCCTTGCGAGGATGGACTGGGATTAGGCATGAAGAGCAGGGCCTGCAACACTAAGCTCTGCAGCTCCACGGTTAATTCTGAGAATGTGGGTTGGGGGCACGAGCTCTGGGATAGACAGGCCTGGAGGCCGATGTCACTTGCCACCCTAGCTGTGTCACCTGAGTAATTGAGTACCTTTCTGTGCCTAGTTTTCGGGTCTGTAACACAAGGCTCATAATGGCCCCTTCCTCCTGGGTAAGGTGCACAGATTCAACAAGGGACCCTGGATAAAAGTGCGTAGAAGAGAGGTGGTACACAGTAGAGGCTCAATAAGTGTTGGCTGCTGTTGCAGCGGTGACTGACACTTCCTGAGCACTCGCCACATGTGATTTGCCTTGGCTCTGACCGGGGGCGCTCTCTGGGCCAGGCCATCAGTGCCTTGTGTTCTTTGTGACTCCTCATGAAACTCCAAGAAGCAGCTACTGCTGTTGCCCTCTTTTAACAGAGGAGGAACCTGAGGCACAGAGCAGCTGAGTTGCTCACCCAGGACCATGCGTTGAGCTCCATGGAGCGAACCGGATCCCATTCACAGATACAGAAAGTGAGGCTGCCGGTGTGCAGCAGCCAGGTGGGGGTGGGGAGCGCACCCTGGACTGCCTGGCTCCTGAGTTCTGAGCTGGCCTGGGAAGCCCAGCACCCACCCTCCCCCTCCCTTCCAGGCCTGGCTCTGGCTCTGTGGCCTCCTTGAAGTCAGGAGCTTACCGTGGGAAGGGAGGGCCTGGTGGGAGAGCTGGCAGGGCTGGAAGCTGCCCGGAGGGGCCAGGGTGGGGCTCCCGCCTGGTCATTATAAACATGGCCAGTTCCTCTGTTTGTCCTGCCCTCTGCGCAGTGCCCAGCGGGAAGGGGTGGCCCCAGGCAAATATCCGGAGGTGTGCCCCCTCACCCCCTTCCCTTGGAGGTTTATGGGTGGGAAGGCCAACTGCCAGTACGCCCCCTCCGCTCATGGCTTGACTGCTCATCGTCCAGACTGCTCCTGCCCATCCCCCATCTTATCCTGAGCTCCTCCCCCTCCTGGGCTTGTTGAGGGGTCACATCTGACCTGTGCCTGTTCCTGCAGAGGACTGTGGGAGGAGAGAGCTGGACGGGCAGGGCGGAGGGTTCAAGGTTAGGAGCCGGCTGGGCTTGAGGCCAGATGGAGGTACATCTGGGGAGCCAGTGAGGTCGCAGGCATGGGGTACAGATCTAGAGCGACAGAGCAGGGGAGGGCGGTGAGATGGGGCACTGTGGGGGGACGAACAACCCTGGGAGCTGGACCTAGCAAGACAGGGAGAGGGAGCGGAGAGCAGGTCAGGGCCACCAGGTGGGCCAGACCTGGAGGGCTAGGAGGGAGGAGTGGAGGCATTCAGGTGGCTGGCACTGGACCCAGAGAAGGGGCTGGGTAGAGGCAAAGGGGATCCATCCTGCCTGGGCCCCCACTCAGGCTCCCTGGGCCCCAGAGCAAGCAGGGAAGCTGAGCTGGCTTGAGGGGCCTGGCCAGGTCGACTCTGACCACTGCTGGCCTCTCGGGACCAGTCGAGACAGGTTGGCTGCCGGTCCCCACCTGCCTCCCACTGGGCTCCCACTGCCAAACCGGTTTCCCTGGACGGCTCCCCAATGATGGCCCTACCTCTGACTGGGTGGTGGCCTCCTCTCCGGAGCTACTCCCACAGGAAAGAAGCCTGAGCCAGGGGAGGCGGGTGCCGGGGCCCGTGTGGTCAAGACACACTGTGCGCGCCCTTTCTCTTGCTGGGTCCACGAGCCATACTGGCTGGGTGCCTGTCCTGTGCCAGGAGCTATGCCGAGTGCAGGGGAGCCCGCGGGGAACAAAGCAGAAATCCCCACCCATACACGGCTTCCAGGAAGCCTCCCCTCACGCTGTCTGCCATCTCGCCAGGCTGGGCTGGTGCTCCCACGGGGCCTAGCCCTGGCCAATCTGAGCTCTCACTCTGTGGGGACAGGACTGTCTGGTCACTGCTGTGGCCCAGGCGCCATCCAGCATAGGGCTGGGCACAAAGGAGGCGTGTTGCTGCATTATTACTGAATAAACAAGTAAGTGAATGGATGCTTCTTCCCATTTTACAGATGAGTAATCCAGAGCCACAGGAGGAGACATCACCTGCCTAAGGGCCCTTCCTGAGTCAAGTCAGGTCTGTGTGACTCCAGGGGCCCGTGTGGGACAGCCAGGGTGGGGCCCCTCACTCCAGGCACTGACTGGGGCAGGCTAGTAGGCACAAGAGCACTTGCTGGAGGCTCTGCTTATGCCAATCCTGGGCCAGGCTCTGCTGATGTTCGTGTATTTTGCTGCTCACAGCAGCCCTGTGGGTGTAGATCCCGGCACAGAGAAGTTAAGCCATTTGCCCACCATCACGGTCCATGCATGGCGGAGAGACTTGTGCTCTGGGCTCCCTGTGGGATGCCACTCTCAGCTCGTCTCCCCTTCGGCTTCTCTGGTTTTTAAACCAGCTTTTATTGAGCATTTACTGTGTGCTGGTCCCGCAGAGCCTAAAGATGAGGAGTATGCAGAGAGGATGCCTGGGCGTTCCGCTCACCACAGGCTCAGTCACTGCTTGTTGAGTGAACAACCAAATATGTGGTGTTCCCAGCCCAGAGTCAGGGCTGGACAGGCAGGGGTGGCTGTGGCAGGCCATCGGCAACTGTCCACTGAGTACACACAGTACTCCCAGTATGGGGGGACATGAGGAGACTGGGCAGGTGAGACCTGGCCAGAGGGTGGGCTGATGTTCTGTTGGGGGGTTGTGGACACTGAACTAGTAAGTGCTGGAGCAAACAACTCCACAAGCCACACATGCTTATGAGGCCGCGTGGTGCAGGGAGCATGGGACACGGGGCTGTTTTACTTGATGGGCAGGACAGGCATAACTGATGATTCTGAGAACTGAAGAGGGGAGTGGGAGCCTGGCGTGGACACTGGGAAGGAATGTCCCAGGTAGAGGGTTCAGCCCATGCAAAGCCCCTGAGGTATTGGGGGGGGTGAGAGCAGAGAGGTGACGGGGCAGATTGTGTGGGGCCGAATGGGTCACAGGGAGGACTCCCTCTGGCTTTTCCCGTGTGAGACAGAGCCATGGAAGGTTTGGAGCAGGGGAGGGTCGTGACCTGACTCAGGTGTTCACAGGCTTCCTCGGTCTGCACATGGGCACAGATGCTGCTGGGCCGTGGGGGTGAGTGGGGATGCCAGGAGGAGGCCGCTGCCTCCTGTTGGTCCAGGTGGGAGACGAGGATGACTGGAACAGGGCCGGGGCAGAGGAAGAAGGCATGGGCAGGCTCAGGCCACCTGCCACTCATCCCACAGGTGGTTCCCTCTTGCAGGCCTCCTGGGCGAAGGTGCTAAGACCCGGCGCCATGTTTGGGAAGAGGAAAAAGCGGGTGGAGATCTCAGCACCGTCCAACTTCGAGCACCGCGTGCACACAGGCTTTGACCAGCACGAGCAGAAGTTCACGGGGCTGCCCCGCCAGTGGCAGAGCCTGATCGAGGAGTCGGCCCGCCGGCCCAAGCCCCTGGTGGACCCTGCCTGCATCACCTCCATCCAGCCCGGGGCCCCCAAGGTATGCCAGCACCCCCCACCACCTCCCCTGCCCCACCCACCCCTGCAGAGGGGCCCGGCCCTCAGCCCCGTGCTTGGCCCCATGGCCAACACCGCCTCACTGAGCTCAAGCAGAGGCAGCCCCCAACTCTCCGCTCGATCCTGGCCCCACGCTGGCCTTTCACCCACTTCCAACCATGTGCCCCAACGCCAAGCCCTCGCTGGCCGCTCTGACCATGCCCACACAGCCTCAAGTCCTGCCTTTCCCAGGTCCACACACCCTGAGCTCTATGCTCCTGTCCCCAGTACCACACCTGTCCCAAGCCTTTCCTGAGCTCCTGTGGCAGTGGAGGGGACAGGCCCAATTGCAGATAACTCCCCCAAGTGGTCAGAGCTTAGACGGGGGCACCCAGAGGAGGCACCTGACCCCGCCAGGAACCAGGCAAGCTTTCTGAGGAGGGGACACCTAGCTGAGCTGAGGAGGAGGAGGAATTGAGGCCGCTAGCAGGGAAGCTAGGGTTTTAGTGGAGGAAATAACTCATGCGACACGTTGGGGGTTTTTTGGTTTGGGCTTTTTTTTCCTGCTATCTTGAGCGAAGTGCAGGGTTGGGATTTGAACCAAGATCTGTTTTTAAGGTCCGTGCTCTAACCCTATCCAGCCTCCATGTGAAATTATATGAGTCGTGGTCTTGATGCCCAGAAGGCCTGTGCTGGCAGGGGTGAGGGGTAAGCCCACGCTGGACCTTGGGAAGCCAGCCTCAGGCACGGACTCTACCCCAAGACCACTGGGGACTGGGAAAGGCCTCAGGCCAGGGAGAGGTTGGCCAGGTTTGTTCCCAGGTGGTGGAGTGGGTGGGCCTGTGGGTAACAGGCCAGTGCCTGGGGGGTGGGCCCGTGGCTGACTCACCCTCTCCCGGTGCCCAGCCTAGGCCTGTGGAGGAGGAGCCTGAGGTTGGCAAGGTGGCTGTAGACATGGTGCAGTCTCAGTCTCGTGCAGCCCATGCAGGGAGCTCTTGATTACCTGGGCTTCTTTGCCACTACTTAACAAGCGAGAGATTTCACATCGAGCCTATATTTGTGGCTTCTCGTGACAGAGTAGCTGGAGCCAACAGGCAGCTGCCTCCGCAGGTGGGCACTGCCTCCCACAGGCCCCACCCAACCCCTCTGTTTCGTGTCTTTCCTGCTTGGCCCTGGGGCCACTTGCGCGTAGGCTATACCCACACTAAGGCCTCTGGAAATCCAGCTGTGGGGCCCACCTATGACTGTGTCCACCAGGAGAAAGGAGCACATTGTCCTGTGTCTCGTTGGCAGCTTCATGGGCACCTGTGTTTGCTGCCCTTGGCTGGAAATCTCCCCAGGCCTCCTCCAAGGACCCTCGCAACTACTGGTCCTGACACTAAAGTCTGGCCGAGTGTTCACCACGCCTTCCCAGGGCCCATCAGGTCTCATATCCTCAGCTCACTGTGACTTTCAGCCCCTCCCTCCCTCCCTCCTTCCCTCTCTCCCTCTCTCCTTGGTTCAGCAAAGGTTTCCTGAGCATCTTCTTGGAGCCAGATGCTGGTCCAGGTGCTAAGATGTAGCAGGACCAGAAACAGGGAGTACAAAATAGTCACTGCTCTCAGGAATACTCTACTGGGCAGAGCCAGGCAATGGACAGATACACAAGTGCTTTGCGTCAGCTGGTGTCTGGTGCTGTAAAGGAGAAAGAGGCAGAAAGGGGAGAGGGAGTAGCAGGGGCTGGCACCTTGGGCTACAGGTGATCAGCAAAAGCCGCTGAGGACACTGAGCTTGGAACAAAGACCTGGGGCCCCTCGGGGGGAAGATGTTCCAGGCAGAGGGAACAGCCAGCACAGAGGCCCTGAGGTGACAGCATGCCTGGCGTGTTGAGGAGCAGCCAGGAGACCCCTGCGCCTGGAGCTAGCAGGGGGCTCTCGAGGGAGGCAGGGTGAGGACTGGCAGATGCAGAGTGCGGGACACACTCGACTCCTGCCTGGTCCCCACGTGCGTTGGCCAGCGTGCTCCTGAGAACCTCTTGCCCCCCAACCTTGGGCCCAGGCCTTTCTGACTCTCCCTGCACCCCACCCTCGGCCTTCATGGCTGCAGAGAGTGTGGTTTGGGGCTTAACGACCCTGCATCCTGGAGGGGAGGAAGTGCCAGGCCGTGCCCTGATCCTGGCAGCCTGTAATTTGCAGCTCTTGGACTGATTATGGGGTAGGTTGGCGTCTGCCCACCCTCCTCTCCACCCCAGGACAGTGTTCTCCCCCCAGTCTGGGGAGCAGGAGAAGAATAAGGGGCTGCTACTCAGGGGTCCCTCCGGCCCGGGAACACTGGAGGTCTGCCCCTGGAGAGGGCTCGTGCTCCCTCCTGCAGCCCCTCCACCCCACCGCCCCTGCCTCATCACCATGGCATTGCCTCATTTCGTCTCTGTCTTGTCTCTGTGTGTGTCGTGTTGTCCTGCCCCCGTGTGTCGGATGCGCATCCTGTGTCCCCTTCCTTCTTGCCCGGCCCCCACCCGGCCATTGCCCTGGTCCCCAGACCATCGTGCGGGGCAGCAAAGGTGCCAAGGATGGGGCCCTCACGCTGCTGCTGGACGAGTTTGAGAACATGTCGGTGACACGCTCCAACTCCCTGCGGAGAGACAGCCCGCCGCCACCACCCACCCGTGCCCGCCAGGAGAATGGGGTGCCAGAGGAGCAGGCCGCCACGGCCCGTGGGGGCCCAGGGAAGGCAGGCAGCCATGGCCGGATCGCCGGTCGCAGCGAGGCGGGTGGCGGCAGTGGAGACAGGCGACGGGTGGGGCCAGAGAAGAGGCCCAAGTGTTCCAGGGAGGGCTCAGGGGGACCCCAGGAGTCCTCCCGGGACAAACGCCCCCTCTCTGGGCCTGACGTCAGCACCCCGCAGCCTGTCGGTCTGGCCAGTGGGGCGAAACTGGCGGCCGGCCGGCCCTTTAACACGTACCCACGGGCTGATACGGACCACCCATCCCGGGGTGCCCAGGTAACCACCCCCACCAGGCCCCACCCTCCCTTTCCCGTTGCTTCCTGCTCCCCACCTGCCAGCTCCAACCCATGCCCAGCCCACTGTGCATCTCATCCTGACCACCCATGTGTCTGTCCCATGGCCGGGCCGTCTCCTGCTCGGGGAGCAGAGCTGGCCTGGGTGCCTTCCACTGACAGCCACCACTCTTCTGTTGCAGGGCGAGCCTCATGACGTGGCGCCCAACGGGCCATCAGCAGGGGGCCTGGCTGTCCCCCAGCCCTCCTCCTCCTCCCGGCCTCCTGCCCGAGCCCGCGGACCCCCCAGCCCTGGAGTGCTGGGTCCCCACGCCTCCGAGCCCCAGCTGGCCCCCCCAGCGCGCACCTCTGACACCCCCACCACCCCTGCCGTCCCTGGACCCCCTGGGCCCCGCTCACCACCGCGGGACCCACAGCGAGTGTCACACGAGCAGTTCCGGGCTGCCCTGCACCTGGTGGTGGATCCAGGGGACC